TTGGATAAAGGAATTCAGATTTGTTCAAATGAAAAGCCACACCCTTTTCCAAGGGAAGTTATTTAGAAAAAAATGTAAATATTGTGTTAGGTTATTTAAAAATCTCCAAGAACAACTAGACCAGGAAAAAACAAAACTTAAGTGAAAGCTTTCTGACATAATGTTGATTGGACTTTGTTTAAATCATGGGGTGGGGCAACTCTGGGCGATCAATGTTTTACATAGTTATTCATTTGGCAAAATTCTTATAAAAAGTGCAAAGCCATGTATAAAGGCATCTTTGGGTAGTGGTAATTGATGTTTATTCAAATTATAATCCCTCAGGTGTAGGGTAGGGCTCCAATTGGCGATCAAAGTTTTACATGAAAAAGAAAAGATAAGGGCCTTAGTGACTCAGCTGAGTGTTGTGGCAAATAGATTTTTTTTTTTCAAGCCAAGAGAGCAGAATTGTGAAAAATAAAATTTTTTTTATATGTTTTATGTTTTTTAAATAAAAAATAATTTAAAGATAATGTTATACTTCATAATTAGTACTCATTGTAGACCAATTTTTTCTGTAAAAATTTGTTGTTGCGAACAATTTAAAATCAAGTCATGTGTTTAATGAAAAATTGCAATATAAATAATAATAATATTCTGGGATTTGAGAAGATTGAATGAAATAGATTTTATTTGATAGCTGCTAAAAGTTCTACTTATGTGGTATAACATTCTCAGATCTAATGACATAGAAATTATTAAATTGAGGCAAATTATTGTAATATTATCCCCTTTTGAAGAATTGCTTTTTCACTGTCAGTTGGATGGTCTGAAAGTCAATCGACCAATGGTTTCCAAGTGATGTCTTGAGAAACTTTTTTCTGATAGCCATCAAACTTTATACATGGCTTGTTGAGCAAAGGACCTATTGAATTTCAGGTCAAAGGGTCAAGGAGCATGTGGTTTTCCACTTAACTCCCATCATATGATTTTGAACCAATATCTTGAAAACCAGTTGCTTGATAGTCATCAAATTAAGTGATGCCTCTTTTGGACTTGTGGAACTATGACCAAGGTGGGATTTATTTTAGAAATGTTTTTATGGACTTGTGGAAGATATGCATCTCTGGACTCTGGGAGCCAATATCTTGTTAAATATTTACAAGAAATGCCAATGGATTTGTAGGGCTATGTTAAGAAGTTTGGAACTTGTCTCAAAAAGTCTCTTCGGACCTGCTGGACTTTGACCAAGGATTTGTGGGACTTGTGTGAGAAAAGTCTCTTTGGACTTGTTGGACTTATGACCAAGGTTTTGAAGGACTTGTGTGAGAAAAGTCTTTATTGACTTGTGGGACTATGACCAAAGTTTTATGGGACTTGTTTAAGAAAAGTGTGAATTGACTTGTTCGAATTTGACCAAGGATTTGTTGGACTTAATTTAAGAAAGGTCTTAATTGACTCGTGGGACTTTGACCAAGGTTTTGTGGGGCTGCTATGAGAAAGGTCTTTATTGCTTTGTTAGATTTGACCAAGATTTTTTGGGATTAATGTGAGAGAAGTCTCTCTGGATTTGTTGGACTTATGACCAAGGTTTTGAAGGACTTGTGTGAGAAAAGTCTTTATTGACTTGTGGGACTATGACCAAAGTTTTATGGGACTTGTTTAAGAAAAGTGTGAATTGACTTGTTCGAATTTGACCAAGGATTTGTTGGACTTAATTTAAGAAAGGTCTTAATTGAATCGTGGGACTTTGACCAAGGTTTTGTGGGGCTGCTATGAGAAAGGTCTTTATTGCTTTGTTAGATTTGACCAAGGTTTTTTGGGATTAATGTGAGAGAAGTCTCTCTGGATTTGTTGGACTTATGACCAAGGTTTTGAAGGTCTTGTGTGAGAAAAGTCTTTATTGACTTGTGGGACTATGACCAAAGTTTTATGGGACTTGTTTAAGAAAAGTGTGAATTGACTTGTTCGAATTTGACCAAGGATTTGTTGGACTTAATTTAAGAAAGGTCTTAATTGAATCATGGGACTTTGACCAAGGTTTTGTGGGGCTGCTATGAGAAAGGTCTTTATTGCTTTGTTAGATTTGACCAAGATTTTTTGGGATTAATGTGAGAGAAGTCTCTCTGGATTTGTTGGACTTATGACCAAGGTTTTGAAGGACTTGTGTGAGAAAAGTCTTTATTGACTTGTGGGACTATGACCAAAGTTTATGGGACTTGTATGAGAAAAGTCTTTATTGTCTTGTTGGAGTTGACCAAAGTTTTGTGGGACTTATGAGAGAAGTCCCTCTGGATTTGTGGGACTTATGACCAAGGTTTTGTGAAGCAATGTCACTCTTGACTTGTGGGACTATGACCAAGGTTTTTGGGACTTTATTTGAGATGTGTCACTCTGACTTGTGGGACTATGACCAAGGTTTTGTGGGACTTTGAGTTATGTAACTTGACTTGTGGGACTATGACCAAAGTTTTATGGGACTTGTATGAGAAAAGTCTTTATTGCCTTGTTGGAGTTGACCAAAGTTTTGTGGGACTTATGTGAGAGAAGTCTCTCTGGATTTGTGGGACTTACGACCAAGGTTTAGTGAAGCAATGTCACACTTGACTTGTGGGACTATGACCAAGGTTTTTGGGACTTTATTTGAGATGTGTCACTCTGACTTGTGGGACTATGACCAAAGTTTTGTGGGACTTGTTTGAGAAAAGTTTTTATTGACTTGTTGGACTTTGATCAGGGTTTGTGGGACTTTTGTGAGTTAGGTCTCTACTGATTTGTGGGACTTATGACCAAGGTTTCATGGAACCTGTATGAGAAAAGTCATTTTAACTTGTGGGACTTTGACCAAGGTTTAGTGGGACTTATTGAAGAGATGTCCTCTGGATATGTTGGATCATGACCAATATTTTGCAGAATTTGTTTGAAAAAAAATTCTCTGGACATACAGGAATGTATATGTCTTCAGTAATTTGTGGGACTTTTTCCATAGTCCCATAATGCATTGATTACTAGAAAAGTTTTGAAAAGTCCCACAGTGTTGAAAGATAAGTCCCACAATGTTACAGTCCCACAATGATCATTTGGTGGTACGACCGTCCGTCCGTCCGTCTGTCCGTCTGTCTGTCCGTCTGTAAACTTTTCACATTTTCAACTTCTTCTCAAGAACCACTGGGCCAATTTTAACCAAACTTGGTACAAAGTATCCTTGGGTGAAGGGGAGTGTAAATTGTTAAAATAAAGGGCCAAGTCCCCTTGCAAGGGGAGATAATCAAGAAAAGACAAAATTGGGTGGGGTCATTAAAAAATCTTCTACTCAAGAACCACTGGGCCAGAAAAGCTGAAACTTATGTGGAAGCATCCTTGGATAGTGTAAATTCTAAATTGTTAAAATCATGACCCCCGGGGGTAGGGCGGGGCCACAATAGGGAATCCAAGTTTTACATTGAAATACATGAGAAAAATCTTTAAAAATCTTCTTCTTAAGAACCAAAGGACCAGAAAAGCTGAAACTTATATGGAAGCATCCTGGGGTAGTGTAGATTATAAATTGTTCAAATCATGACCCCCTGGGGTAGGGCGGGGCCACAATAGGGAATCCAAGTTTTACATTGAAATACATAAGAAAAATCTTTAAAAATCTTCTTCTTAAGAACCAAAGGACCAGAAAAGCTGAAACTTATATGGAAGCATCCTGGGGTAGTGTAGATTCTAAATTGTTCAAATCATGACCCCCGGGGGTAGGGCGGGGCCACAATAGGGAATCCAAGTTTTACATTGAAATACATAAGAAAAATCTTTAAAAATCTTCTTCTTAAGAACCAAAGGACCAGAAAAGCTGAAACTTATATGGAAGCATCCTGGGGTAGTGTAGATTATAAATTGTTCAAATCATGACCCCCGGGGGTAGGGCGGGGCCACAATAGGGAATCCAAGTTTTACATTGAAATACATAGGAAAAATCTTTAAAAATCTTCTTCTTAAGAACCAAAGGACCAGAAAAGCTGAAACTTATATGGAAGCATCCTTGGGTAGTGTAGATTATAAATTGTTCAAATCATGACCCCCGGGGGTAGGGCGGGGCCACAATAGGGAATCCAAGTTTTACATTGAAATATATAGGAAAAATCTTTAAAAATCTTCTTCTCAAGAACCACTGGGCCAGAAAAGCTGAAACTTATATGGAAGCATCCTGGGGTAGTGTAGATTCTAAATTGTTAAAATCATGACCCCTGTGGGTAGGGCGAGGCCACAATAAGGAATCCAAGTTTTACATTGATATATATAGGAAAAATCTTTAAAAAATCTTCTTCTCAAGAACCACTGGGCCAGAAAAGCTGAAACTTATATGGAAGCATCCTGGGGTAGTGTAGATTATAAATTGTTCAAATCATGACCCCTGGGGGTAGGGCGGGGCCACAATAGGGAATCCAAGTTTTACATTGAAATGTATAGGAAAAATCTTAAAAAATCTTCTTCTCAAGAACGACTGGGCCAGAAAAGCTGAAACTTATATGGAAGCACCATTGGGTAGTGTAGATTATAAACTGTTCAAATCATGACTCCTGGGGGTAGGGCGGGGCCATAATAGGGAATCCAAGTTTTACATTGAAATACATAAGAAAAATCTTTAAAAATTTTCTCTCAAGAACCACTGGACCAATAAAGCTGAGACATATTTGGAAGCATCCTGGGGTAGTGTAGATTCTAAATTGTTCAAATTTTGACCCTCGGGGGTAGGGCGGGGCCACAATAGGTATATTAAAAGGGGGGAAATCTGGTAAAGAACAGCATGGCCAAAGTTACTCAGGTGAGCGATGTGGCCCATGGGCCTCTTGTTCAGATTCACATCAAAATGTAAGACAACTGGGATTTTTTTCCTTGGCAAATTTTGATATTTTTTAGATTCATTGCAGGCAATCAAGTTGAATAATAGTTAACAATAAAATGTTTTTAATATAACTGTGGGCATAAAGTAGATTAAAATCATGAAATAAAACAAGCTCAATTATGTTTCATCCCAGGTGATGCAAGCTGCCAAAGAACTACTGCTGTGGTGTGCCACTCCTGATGGTGTATTGAGGGCAAAACAGAAACTTCCTCCTCGGGATTTTGCATTTGTAGAGAACATTTACTATGCACAGCAAAAACATGATAATTTATTGTTTTACCTTAACCAGAAGATCAGGATGGAAGTTACGGATGAACTTTATGCCCAGGTTAATCTTAAGTTATCGATATTTCTATGCATACAGGGCTTAATTGCAGGGTCCTGTACCTTTTCAATTGGGAATTTTTAATCGAAAAAGTTGCAAAATTTTGAAGTATTGAATAAATCAGATGTCTTCTATTAAGTGTTACTGTTGAATAAAGAGATACTTTGATGGCTTATTCCCATCCTTATGAATCATTAAAATCTTAAAATTCAAGTTTTTTTTAATATAAAAAGCACTGAAAAATTCAATTTGCATGTCATTTGAGAATTTTTACCCAAATTTTGGGAAAAAAGAGAAAATTTTCAATTGGGACAAGGTCTTTTTACAGGACCTGGATGCAAAGGTTATTGAGCCCTGGTATGTTCAATATACAGTAAAATTTGGTTATAAAGAACTCGCTTGTAAGGAAATGTTGGTTATAAGTTCCTGATGAATTCTGTAGAAAACTTTTCACTATGTTTTTTTTATACAGATTATAAAGAATCTAGGCTAGAAGGAAGCAACTGAAAATTTTAGGTCTTGGTGATTTCCTTATAACCAAGTTTTACTTAGTGTTGTCAAATCGGACGGTTTTTACTAACCGGTTACTCGCTTACTGTTCCGATCGAGTACCAGGATACTCGGATGATTTTTCGCTACAGTTACCATACATCTATTATTTATCTTATCCTTTACCTATCGGTAGAAATAAAACAAATGTACTGTATAGGAACATATTTACAATTAAAAACTCAAACACACACTCATTATATTCAAAGAATTTTTGATTAATTGATTTTAGATGTCACTTGAAATGGACAGTTTGTTTTTGTTTAAGAAAATAATTTTATCGACACACGAAGAAGACAGATATTTAGTCATCAATCACCATTTTCACAATGGCTCTCAGTACGTATTCCTTTTCAGCCCCTATATTTGTCGCGATCAAGGAGAATTAAAATACCCCCAATTACTGGTTGATTTGTAGAGTGTTCAGTAAATTGCTGGTTTCTGAAAAATGTTTTAATCTTCAGTGATATAACATATTTGTAGTCCCACTCATATACAATAACTCCGATTCAAATACTGGCGCCGCGGTAATCCGGACGCCAATAATCCGGACGCTTCACCTTCCGGACGATATTTTTTGGGAACCGATTTTTTCCTCGTTATTTTGTCTCATTAATCCAGAAATTCGCGTTCCGGATCCGGACGGTCAATTTCTACTACAAAACGTAATATTTCATTGAAAAATGACTCGTTTATCCGGACGATACTTTTTCAAGGAACGACTTTTTCACACCTATCTTGCAGTAGTGATAATTGTTGTAAAAACATTGTCCGTGAAGTAAGTTTGAAGACAGTTACCTGTGACCTCCAAACAATGTCTATAATTAGCGTGTGTTTACCCCAAATAAAACACGCGTCTATTATATTATGGAGCTCGAAGAATTTAGCTTATATTGTCCATTTTTTAAATATAAATACTTTTAGAATATAATTGCTAACGGTATAACAATTTATGAGAATTTTGGAGAGTTGTAAATAAAATAAAAATAAATCAAGAGATTTTGTTGGGGGTTTGAGCTGCGTATAAGTTTAACAAAATGCGATTTTCCATTTCTCAAAACGTACATATATTTGAAATGCTTTTTTTCTTTTCATAAGACAATTTATAAGGATATATAATTCAAGAAAATATCTTTCTATTTATTGCACTACAGTCTATAAACGAACATAACTTTAGAAAAGAAATATGTAACTGGCGTTAATTATAAATACCGATCAAGCTTTTTCAAAGTACATAACTTAGACATGTTAGAGTTTGTAGAATAATATTGATAATCCTGAATATGGCTTGTGTTTACGTTGAATGTTTACAATACGAACACTGATTATGCGTGTCTGCGTTAGCTTACAGTGTTCAGTTTTTTACTTTCCAATTAATGTAGATGCGGTAAGTCATTTGAACATTTCCAATGGTGATAATGAACAGTTCACTAATATGAGCTTGAATAATTAAAAAATTGCCGATATAAAACAGTAGCAAATCAAAATTTGGTCAGCCCACGTCAAATAGGAGGCGAATTAAGTTTCCTGTGTTAAAAAAGGAAGTTGCAATATAAAATTGCTATTCATTTTTCATCGTGTAAATTACATTTAAATTTTTAAAAAAATATTATTTCTTTAAAAACTGAAAAAATAAAATCAATAAATCAAGGTAAAATAAGGTGTTTTTTCCCTTCAAACTTGATACCACTATGTGCATATGCACGTGCTTTGAGAGGGTCTTTTAAGAGATGATTCACTTATCTGGACGATTCATTTATCCGGGCGATTTCGTTGGGGACGGAGGCGTCCGGATTAACGAGGCGCCACTGTAATTTACATTTTACAGATCTCGAATCAGCTGTTCTATTCAAATACTTCCAAGCTTAATATGTCTGCGGCTGCATGTTATTAAATTATGTTCCTTTGACTAACACAGGTGTAAATGAGTTAATTATAACTCAGGTCTTCGAAACTATTATACTCCTGGCAATCAAAGCTGTCAATTATATAAACTGTGAAAACTAATCAAAACAAATCAATGCCATTTGTGAACCACTAGATCAAGTCTAACGGTAAATAATTTTATGGAAATGTGTTATATATTTATATATACATTTGTGGTATCTCTCTATTATATAAACATGCAGAGAGCAAATATCTTCATACCTGTATGAAGTTTTTCGAAGGTCATAGGTCATTACGTGACCTAATCACACAGCGCAGTAATATCTCCATAGCAATATAGCATGTTTTTTATGCATAAAAATGTACAAAATACGCAAGTAAAATAATAATCATTTTATTTACAATGTAAACGAGTATTTAATACAGTTCTTGATCGATTTTACATAGAGAATAGAAAACTAGGTGTTATAAGTTTCATGTCTGAGCTGCATAGTCTCAACGTTTACCCTTATTTTTCTCGCAGACCTCTGAATGCTATAATTTTTTTTCATTAAACTTTACTCACAATAAATTTGAAAATCTGTTGAAAAATATCAGTGTAATGCAATCACCCCACAAACAGCTGACAAACACTGCACTTTGGAAGTTCGGTAGGCACACCTCCATCATCGAGATCGTTGTGACGTCTTAACAATGTAAGCTGTCACCAGTGTCTCCATGTCAACATCATAAATTAATAAATATGCCTTACCTAAATCGTAGATTTTATGTTTTTGATCAAATTTTGTACTTGATTTCAAGTTATCCGGTCCGGACAAGTGTCTCCATCCATCCCTTTCCGACCGAAATTCCTCCAACTTTTTATTATCAAACATCGGACGTGTTTCTTGTGTTTTTAAACATCGAATATGGGTTCTCATGAATACAAAAATTCCAAGACACCAATATGCTTACTATAATTGATCACAAGTAGCCTTTCACAAAATATTCCCTTCAAAACAGAATCCTTTGCCAGATGAATTTGAAGCGTAACCGCTTTTCAAGCCGATTTACACCTAGCATAATTAGTCAAAATCTACGACGTACAGTTAGTGCAATATTTATATTCGATTACATTCGATTGTCCATCTCAAATGTATATATAAGTAATAAATAACAAGTTTAAAAACTTCAATGGGAATTGAAGTGGGTCGGTACGTGATCAAATCTTCTGAGAAGGCCTTCGGCCTTCACAGGATTTGATCACATGACCGACCCACTTCAATTCCCATTGAAGTTTTTAAACTTGTTATTTATTTCTTAAATAAACAATATAACATTTATTTTCTACATGTATGTATTTACTATGTAATGTATTTTTATCTGAGTAACCGAACAGAAGTTTTACTAACCGATATTTGCATCGTTTGACGGTTAACCAGGTACTCGTTGACAACTAGTTTTACTGTATCCTCAACACTTTAAGAAGGAAATGCCATCAAATTAAATGAATATTCAGTATATCCTTCATGCATTTGAGAGGAATGGCATCAAATAAATTTTCAATATATCCTCCATGCATTAAGGAGGAATGCCATTTGTTAAGACATAAATCAAAAATTTGATTTTTCTTTAAACTACATGTATAAAGAAGTATAGGCATTACCAGCAACAAGCATTGTAGATTACATCCTGTTTATCTCAATATTGTTCATCTGTCATCCTTTACATATATCAATGTGTGTGTATAAAACTACTCAATACATGTATTGTTATAGGTGACTACCAACTCAAAGCTGATCACCACAGTAGATGTAGCAGAGCTGTCTCAGTACCTCCACATTCCTCATACACAAATCACACTCCTCACTCTACAGTCATTTGATACAGAGCAGCAATTCTGTAGACAAGTCAAGTAAGTCATTGATACAGAACAGCAATTCTGTAGGCAAGTCAAGTAAGTCATTTGATACAGAGCAGCAATTCTGTAGACAAGTCAAGTAAGTCATTGATACAGAACAGCAATTCTGTAGGCAAGTCAAGTAAATCAACAGTTCTGTAGAAAAGTCAGGTAAGTCAGCAGTTCTCTAGACAAGTCAAGTAAGTCAGCAGTTCTCTCGACAAGTCAAGTAAGTCATTTGATACAGAACAGAAATTTTGTAGACAAGTCAAGTAAGTCAGCAGTTCTCAAGACAAGTCAAGTAAGTCATTTGATACAGAGCAGCAGTTCTGTAGACAAGTCAAGTAAGTCATTTGATACAGAGCAGCAGTTCTGTAGACAAGTCATGTAAGTCATTTGATACAGAGCAGCAGTTCTGTAGTCAAGTCAAATAAGTCATTAGATCTGTAGTCAAGTCAAGTAAGTCAGCAGTTCTGTAGACAAGTCAAGTGAGTCATTAGATCTGTAAACAAGTCAAGTAAGTCAGCAGTTCTGTAGAAAAGTCAAGTAAGTCAATAGATCTGTGGACAAATCAAGCAAATCATTAGATCTGTAGACAAATCAAGTAAGTCATTAGATCTGTAGACAAATCAAGTAAGTCAGCAGTTCTGTAGAAAAGTCAAGTAAGTCATTAGATCTATAGACAAGTCAAGTAAGTCATAAGATCTGTAGACAAATCAAGTAAGCTGTTCTGTAGACAAGTCAAGTAAGTCATTAGATCTATAGACAAGTCAAGTAAGTCATTTGACACAGTGCAGTTCTGCAGACAAGTCAAGTAAGTCAGCAGTTCTGTAGACAAGTCAAAAAAGTTGTTTGTTTAATTTACTGCAGCAATACATGTCCTTGTCTATGAAATTCTTGGGCCATTGGAAATTATTTCAAAGATTTATCAAATGAACTTGACTGATAATCACATTTTGAAAGAATATAAATTTCCTTCGTTTAACTATCTTTACATCAATAAAAAAGGGAAAACTTCTTTGGTAGACAAAGTTTTGAGAGAGACTTAGATGCTGAGTCTCTGTTGATTGTACAGTGTGACAGTGGAAATGAGAATGCTAGCCTTGTGGCCTGTGCCCAGTATTCTGTGTTAGATCAGCTACAACAGCTGGAAGATGAGAAGACAGGGAAGACACACATTGTCTTCATCATCCATCTCCCCAGGGTGGCAGGTGGAGGATTCACAGGATTCCAGGTACAAATTAATCAATCAATTTACAGAAATGTTAGGAGGGCAGGACTGTTAAAAAGTTAACTTGTTGACATTGTAAATGTTTTGCAATGAAGGCATGTAATTTATTAACGTGTTGCATAAAAGTGTTTATTGTTATGAAAAAAAAATTGAGGATGTTCTTTCTAATTCTATATTTTCCCTAGTGTGGTCTGTGGCACTCTGTTCACATCGATGACCTTCGCCCTGATAATGTTAAAATGCCCAGTTTTCTGGAGTTGAGGAATAAGAGTATAGGGACTTTAATGGAAACAGCTGCTGGCTCCTCTAAATCCAGAGACCCTGAAGAAATGGACTGGGAGGGGAGGCCAGATCATAATAAACGGGAAACTGAGGACATAGGAATGGAGGATCAGGATGTGTATCAACATGACTTTGGCAGCATGATGGAGTACACAGGACAAGCCCATGTGGAGAAGGAGGTGGATATTCCATTTTTCATAAAGCTGACAGCACATCCAGCCCTGGCCATGGTGAAAGATCCAGCTGAGGACTCCGCCAGAACAACAGAGAGAGTGAAAATTCTGCTAGAGCTTCTACATCAAGAAACAAGAGGTAAGCTGAATCAGATTTTTATACCCCGGCTCTGAAGGATAGGGGGCTATATTGTTTTACCCTTTGTGTCTGTCTGTCTGTCCATAACAAAATTTTCGTCACAGTTTTCTCAGCAACTACTGATTGCAGATGCTTGAAATTTTAGCACACTCTTTGTTTAGGCATGCCATATGGTGGGAATCATTTTTGTACGAATCCAATGTGAACATCCTGTTTATCTGTGGTCTGTCTGTACCATGCATAACAAATTTTGGTCACAGTTTTCTCAGCAACTACTGATTGCAGATGCTTGAAATTTTAGCACACTCTTTGTTTAGGCCTGCAATATGATGGGATTCATTTTTGTACAAATCTGATGTCAACTTCTTGTTCATCCTTGTATCTGTCCGTAACTGAACTTGTGTACATTCACATCATAGCGGGATATTACTAGTGAGCATTCGCTCATAGACTTCTTGTTGTTTCTGTGAAGTTTTCAAGGTCTGCTTTAGGTATTCAGTGATGTATGATAATGTATAATTATATTAAAATCTTGTTTTTACAGAAAAAATGACATTCATGAAAGGAGTAGGACACCACCTAGCGGCTCTGATGAAGGAGAAAGAGGAAACCATGGGGCAGTCTGCTGGGAGTTGGCTCTATTCAGAGGCCACCAACAGGGACTGTATCAACAGGGTTGGAACATTCAGGTAACAAAAACTAATTGTACTAATACATGTATTCAAAGATTATAGATGTATAAAGAAATAAGCTTGTTTCCCTCTGTCCATACAGTCATATCCAAGGTGTGGATTCTTGGTACAGGTTAACACTAGAAGCTCGTACTGGAAACAAAGATAATTATGGCTTATCTTGACTTAAGGTCAAATGGACATGCTTCAGCCCACTGATTTTAAAATTTATGTTCAGTCTACAACTTTGTAACACAGAAATATGAGCAATTCATACTTGATGTAAAGATTGACCCTTTGGTGGGACCTGACCTTGATCTAAGGTATTTAACCTTTTTGTGTGACCTGATCTTGACCTATGGTCTTTAACCTTTTGGGTGACCTGACCTTGACCTATGGTCTTTAACCTTTTGCTGTTACCTGACTTTGACCTAAGGTCCTTAACCTTTTGGTGTGATCTGACCTTGAACTAAGGTCTTTAACCTTTTGGTGTGACCTGACCTTGACCTAAGGTCTTTAACCTTTTGGTGTGACCAGACCTTGACCTAAGGTCTTTGAACAAGATATTTACTAACAGAAATTACTGATGAACTGAAGATGTTCTGCAATGTACTAGATCATTGGCTGAAAAAGTGGACTTTGTCACCACATTGTAGTTTATACCTTATATGTGTATAAAAATTGACAACATAGGAACATGTGGTGAACTTGGAAGTTTAAGGGGACAGGATGGGATAACAAAGTATTGCAGAGGGTATTCTGCACACTCAGTATCTTTGTTCAGGTGTATCATCAGTACTATTTAATTTTAAAGAGAATTTAGTTTTTTCAGAAAGATCTATAATTTTGTATTGTTAAACAATATACCAAGTGTCAGATGGAAAAGATATTTTAAAAATTTGTTAAAATGATTAAATTAAATTTAAACTGTATAAGTTAGGATCTGTGAATACAGTCAAATTTTGTCATCTCAAACTTAATGGTACCAGGATTAAACTAGTCTCTGAGATATCTGAGGATTCAAGATAATGAGGTTTAAAAACATAAGAAGATGTGGTTAGGATTGTCAACTCACATCAACGTATCCCTGGTATATGAGATATTGGTGTTTCACATAATGAAGCTCAACTGTAATAATGTTTTCTGTATTCTTTCAGAAAAGCTCGAGACCAGTGTATCATTGAGAAATTGTCCCCCATCTTGGCTGGCATCATTGCACAAGTGGACACCAACAGTAACCTTGACCTTTTGATTAAAACTGACTCGGACACCTGGGAGAACAAACTTTGGCTTGAGATCATCAATGACCCCTCAGCCACACAGATTGAGTATTCCATGATTGTGTCCCCCAAAAGACAACAGGAACTTCCAGAGGTGATGGTGAGGGGGACGGGTTGTGATGGACAGAAATTTACAGCACAGATGCCATTCTCCTGGCTGATCTACAAACTGATTGACCAGATCTTGAGGACCTCACAGAATTTAGAAAAAATTGGTGTGTTGATTTGTGGTTTCTATTGTAATTCTTTGTTTTATTTTCAGCAGTAAAGTAACTTTACTGAACAATTTATAATTGACTGCTGTAGGTTAGTTTTTTAAAGAAAATAGAATATATAAAAGTTCCTACTAAATACTTTTTTCTAAGTTTTTAGATGTAAATAGTTTCAAGTAGAATTCCATCTATTTGGTTGAGAATGTCTTTATTTTGCAGAAACAATACAAGAATTAGTCATTAGGGTAACAGGCATTATAGAGAATACATCTCTTGGGAAAGTGCTTCAGAAATGTCTTGGTGAGGTCAAGGTACCTGAATTTGTCAAACCATATCTCAGTGATTTTGTTCATATGGTATATCATGTGACCAGTGTGGAGGAACATGGGGTAAGTCTCAAAAGTTTGAAAATTAAATCTGTTAAAAAAATGGTTTATTTATGTTTAACCTGTTTCTTAGTTTCTTTAGTTTTATTGTAAAGTAGTTTATGTTGATATAAATGTTTTGAATGTTCATTGTAGCTGGTGTGTGAAAATTTACTGAATGGAATGAATATGGACTTCAGAGAAGGACTGCAGAGTGTTGTGATGAACTTTGTAGCAATTCATGCTGTATACAATAAATCCGTACCTCGTCTGAGGAATTTTGCCGGCATAACACGGGTGTGGCCTGAGTGTAGTGCCAAAATCATTGAGTTCCAGCAGAAAAGTGCTCAATTCTACCTCGTCACAGATGAAGAACTGGTACTATTTTAAGTTATATATATAAGTGTAAATCCACCTCAAACAATGTTTGGTTGTAAAGGAATGAACTTGTCTTCTGTCTGTCCTGCCATCATGTTTTTCTATAAATGTAGAAACATAGGAAGCTTTTTTTTTCCAGAGAGTTCAAGGTCACTGGCAGAAATAAGAGTAAAATTCATGTCCCAAGGTCACTGGCAGAAAAAAAGCGTAAAATTTGCGTCCATTCATAACTTTCTAGTAGAGAACAAGTGGAAGTTATGTCTCATTCAAAGATTACTTATGACCAGAATATGTGTCATGACCTTGACTTAAGGTCATTTGAGGTCACTGGAAGGAAAGTTTTAAAATTTTGTGTCTCATTTCTTAACTGTATCATGGATAAATGTTGGACTGTTGATACTTCAAGAAAGAAATTAAATATAACCAGAGGGTATACCATTACCTTGAACCAAGGTCATTTTGGCAAGTTCATGGTCACGTCTCAAAAAAATACTTGTGGGGAATATAATTATGTGAGTTTGCTTACAATACTTCTGACTAGTTGTTAGTGGCTCCCTATAAAATAGACACCATATCAGTGATATTTACTAGTAATTTGTACTGGAATATTTTATAGATCTTTTGCATTAATAGGCTTTAGATATACTGGGCCTCTACCTGTTGTTGCAATCTTTGGAGCCTGGCAAGGACTCACTAAATGACCACAGGGGCAGACAGTACTGGCAGAAACAGGTGCTCAAGTACCGACCTGTGGTAGAGAGGATTCTGGGACAGTTTGTACAGGAGGTGGATCCATCAGGAGTGGAGGAGTTTGGGAGAAGGTGTAGGGAGGGAATGAAGGAGGCTAGGTTAGTTTGGTATAAATATATCATTTTACATGTCAGGAATTCCATTTGAAAGAAATCATTAAGACATTAAAACTATCTAAATTCAGGGATAAAAATTTGGGTGAGGGAGTGAAAGACATAAATGCCGGGGCTAGAGGTTGAGTTTGACCTAGTAAGTAAATGGTTGAGGCAATTAAGGGAGGAGATATAATTATTTAAAGCATTTCTTGTGAGAAAGGTTAATTAGTACTCACCACTTGTTATGTTAAGTTCTATTCCATTACTAGGTGTATGTGGACTAGGATAACAGTGATGAAGTTATTCCTTCAGCATGTTTGTTCTGAGGATACACAGCCAGCAGAGAGATGCATGATGCTCTGGATGGTAAGAATTATATAGTTTCTGCTACTAGTTAAAAATTGTCCATGACAAATATTTAGAAAGAGTAAGGTACTTGGCAAATTGAATATAAGATAAACATTCATACTTCCTGCAACAGTTAATGTTACATTTTTTATGCACTGATGTTTTTGACAGATGCTGAAGGATAATGTTGACTTCAAGAAACTAGAATCTTTGGAAAAGGTGGAAAAATTCCTAAAAATCTGCATGAAAAAGGTTGTGAAAACAGCAATTGGGTAAGGGTATATTACATTTCAATAACTTGCAAAAATTATATTTTTTCCCTCAAATATGAGAGTGGTTAACTATTTTATCTATAATTATATGAAAATTTTGGACAATTGTTATAGTACAGTAATTACTGCTCTTTCTCTCTCTGTATATGTTCTCGACGAAAAATTTTCGATGCAGGTGTATTCTATGTGCTTCCACTTATAAAAACAAAGAATGAAAATTTTAAATTTTAAAGAAATTCTAGCCAATGGAAATTTGAAGTTAAAATGTTAACTAATCTGAACTTTCATTTTCTAGGTGTCAGACAAACTGCACAGCCTGTGAGAGTGAGATCACAGAGAAGCCTATACAACTTCCCTGTAAGGATGTTATCTGTATCAAGTGTTACAACGAGATGAAGATTCTGAGAGCTACTGAATGCCCCGCTTGTCATAGTGAGATTTCTGGGGACTTTGATCCTCAGGAAGACAATACCCAAAGGTCGGTACAACTGTTATTTTACATTTACAAATGTTTCCATAATAAAAGCTGTTTGAGATGTATCTATCAGTGGATAGAAACAATTGGTCACATGGCCACAAAATCATTGTGAAGTCAAATTTCACAGATGTGTCCAACCCCATATCTATATTCAAACAGAAGTTTAAATATGATACCTTATTTTTTTAAATGGAAAAAAATTGATATGCTGTACTTTTGGTAACTTCTATGGCTTGAGTGTTTGCATTTTGATTCTTCAAAGGTAGCTTTTAAATATCTGCACTTTCAATGTTTTTCAATTTCAGTCAATTTTTTCATCCATGCATATAATTAGACCAAAATTTAAAAAAAAATGGAGTAGTACACTTTGAGAGGGTATGGGATTGAAAATCTAAAAAGTAAATTTATATGCCCTTGAAAAACTTTGCATAATTAAATGAATTGGATGAGTAGTCTGTTAAGTTAAACTTTGTAGAAATAATGTTTGTCTTGTTATTATAAAAATGAATTATTAAATTAAAAATATTTTTACAGAATTAAGTTCAAAAAGCTACAAGAATTCCAAAGACGTTGCAATAGCTTTTTCATGGATCTGGTTTCTCAGCTTTGCTTCTCTGACGATGTACCACCATCTAGACATGTGGTAGAGAAGCTTATGTCCCACATCACAGCTACAGCTAAAAGTGGCAAAATGGCCAGTAAGGAGTTGTCAGTGTTTGAGGAAGGCATTGATCCTACACCAGTCCTACGATCCTTCCTCCTACAACATCTTCTGAGAACTAAGTAAGTATGTTTTATCATAGCTGCTTTATAAATGGAAGGAAAAAACGATATGATTTTTAATTTTTTTTTCTTTCATGACGATGGAGAGTTGACAAAGCTTACATCATCCAATACTAAATAGTTTTTTTTTTTTTTGTTTTTTTTTCCTTTTCTTTCTCTTTTTTTTTTTTTGAACAAAGTCACAGAGATTAATGGAAGTTGAAAGACTTTGTGAATCCTGTGGCTTGAACTTAACTTTATATTAATGTATTGATCCTTTTAATATCTCAGACATTTGCAATGTAAAAAAATGTTAATATGTGTTCTGTAGCTTTTTCAATACTTTTTGCTCTGTGGGCATTTTAAACACACTTTGATATTATTTAATTTGAAGCTCTGATGAAGTAAGAGAGTGCTTGGGGATGTATTTGGATCAAGTGGAGAAACTGATGTCCCTCACAGAGAATGAAGAGAAAATGATAGAACTGTCTCTGTTGGTCATTCAGTGTCTAGAGGTAATGTATGATACATGTATAATGTGTTAAATGAGAGAATTTCCAACTGAATGTGTTAATTTACCCAATAGTCATTAATCCCCCCCCCCCCCCAACTTAAAGGTATACAGTTGAACTTCCATATCTCGAACACCTGTCTCGAATACCATGGATGTGTTGAAGTGGTTTGGAAGTCCCAACCACTTAGTCTTTAAGTATTTTACCCTCAATATCTCGAATCCTTGGATATTTTGAAGTTTTTTTCTTGGTCCCATAGAGTTTGACATGATGAGATTTGATTGTATTTGAATAAATAGTACATCAACAAGCAAAATGGAAATTTAGGTGATAATGAAAACTAGAAACCCCAAATAAGATGAGTTTTATTGTATATTGATTTTCCAAAAAAAAGTCACTAACTGGCCCCCCTGTCCCAATACCAAAAGGTGAAGTGAAAGCCATATAAAATAATTGTCATACACTTGATGAAACTGCACCATTCAGTTAACTGAATGATCGTTGTATTGTTTGTGAGGGTGACTGGATGGTAAAGCTCTGCCTTTAGTCACTTTTCAGAAGGCTTTCAGATAACTGAATGACATAATTTCATCCAATGATACCTCTAGATGTTGTAACATGCTGACTTGAAGTTAAGACACACTCTATACACTACACACTAAAGATCTAGTTCTTATTTTGTGGTATTTTTATGCAGAGAGAGTAATCTGCCCTTTGATCTGGAATAATATAAAATAAATAGAAATGTACAGTGTATTACTTAATTTGTGATCAAATCAAGTATTCATATCATTTTAATAGGCCAAGATGAATAAATTGAACACTTCATTTGCAGGTATTTTGCCCACTTAAGTAAATAACAGTGTTTTCTGTTCATCAGTTCTTCACTGTCTTTAAACACATTTCCTTGTGGTGATGAAAAGTACCCTATGTAATTGTAAAAAGTAAAAGATAAGCTCAATGTTTACACCTTAATTTACACAATGTAATTTTTTCAATGTCCAAGAAAACTTTTCCTTTAGTGTATAGAGGATACTCAAGGAGAAGATACATAACCATGTACTCAGAAACTATTAACCCTGTATCCCAAAGCTTGCATACTTTTTATCATTCCCTCTTAGGTTTGTTTTTATATTTTTAGATATACACTTAGTCTACTGTTTTCAAACCATGTTAGATCATGTGGGTTGTGCACTAAGTTTCTAAATTAACTTCATGCTTCAGGACTCCTTTGATCAAGAAGTAACCAAAAATTCTGACCCTGAAAAATCGAAAATCAAGATGGCTACCCACATGCTTCAGCACAATGTCCACCTGGTGATGAAGGAGGGTTTGGACATAGAGAAGTTGTATTGTATGGCTGAAACCAGGTTCGGACTGATTGTTGTGGCAGAAATCCTCCACAAGTTACTGGTGGAGAAGTCAATAAAGGGGGGACAGAGTATCAGAAGACTTTTAGAAGCTGCTGGTAGGCTGTGTGATGAATGCAGGTCAAAGCAGCCAAAGTAAGATTTTTTAAAAATGTATCATAAAGTAACATTACTCCATATTTTTAGGCAAATGTCTTTTAAAAATTTTCTTTTTAAATTTTCTGCACTTTTAGGTTGTTCCTTATCAAACACCTCTGCCGATGCTTTGGATTGGAGACCTATCAAAAAGTCTGCAAGACAAGTGATGCTGCCACAGTTCGATGGTTGAGTGTACCAGAACTCCAGAAAAATGAGGTATCACATCATGAACAGCATGAGCACAGTTTGTCTGACTTAGCAGAGATTCAAATGCCATCAGTCTCAGTCTTATAATTGAGATTATGCAATTTGTTTTAATAATACGGGACATAAAAAATTAAATTTTAAACTTGGAAAAAATGTCAAGGTCATTCAACATGCTTTAGTTTTACAAAATGCAGTTAGCTGGATATTTATATTGTCCTTGACTGTTTTAGAAGTAGAAGATACTTGATTAAATATTGTGCCATACAGAGTGAAAATAATCCTTGATATTTGACACAGATTGTTGAGTGCAGTGACAGGTTTATTGTGTGTGGAGACCAGTACAAAGCACTGAGAGAGAAGTTAACCCAGGCAGCACTGGGACAGAACATGGATATATTCAACACTGCTATAGAGGTAGATTGTACTCATTAAAAATGTTGTACAGGAAGGTATAAAATTAATGCTAACATGATTGATACTTATTGTAGTTGACTTTATAAAAATGGTGCAAAGAACTGTAGAGTCATTATTGTTCATGAGGGACCTATTTCTGTGGATTTCGTGGGTCCTCCTAACTCAGTTATACATCCTAAAGAATAATAACTTTTTAAACTATTGGTTCATTAACTCTGTGTAGAAGAGTTACCCATGAAATTACATCCCCACGAACCAGAAAAATGTAGGGTGCCCAGGAACATTGACCCCCACAAATTCTAAAGATTCCACAGTATATAGTATATGTGATAAAATATATAATCTAATAATCCTTAAATATGATAATTGATTATCAGTTTAACAGGGAGCTACTTTTTATGAATTTGTAACTCTTAGTGAGCTTTTTAAAAACAATGAGGAAATATTTTGTATTTTCTAAAGAGTATACACGTGAGTAGTCTGGTAATCTGCTATGTTTTTCAGAGTGTCAGGGCACCTGAGTTCCAGAAAAGAACACTAACTCTCCTGGCTATTCTTAGGGAAATAACTATGTCTTATTTGTACCCAGAAAACAAGAGAAGAGTTACTGCAGCTGTAAGTTTTTGTTGAGCCACAAAACTAAGTTCTCATTTGCTGTAATTGTATTTCAATGCTTATTAAAGTGATATTCCTAGATATCTTTAAATTATCTTAAGTTTGTTCTAACAGAGAATAAAATTTAATTGTGTCCAAATATTTTCTTAGTTATTTCATGCTATAAAAAGATAAATTTACAAGTATGATTTATGATTTTAATTTACATTTTCTTCCTCACAGGCTATTGAACTTCTACATCAGTTTATGGCACAACACCCTCTGTTTGCAAATCAGGTAAGCTATGGAATATATATATATATATGTATTAATTTAATTATATATTCATTATACCCCTGCTCCGAAGGAGAGGGGGGTATACTGTTTTACCCTTGTGTGTCTGTCTGTCTGTCTGTCCGTCCGTCTAGCTGTCTGTCTGTCTGTAACAAATTTTGGTCGCAGTTTTCTCAGCAACCAATCATTGCAGATGCTTGAAATTTTAGCACAATCTTTGTTTAGGCATGCCATGTGGTGGGATTCATTTTTGTACGAATTCGATCTCAACTTCCTGTTTATCCATGCGTCCGTCCGTAAACTTTTCACATTTTCAACTTCTTCTCAAGAACCACTGGGCCAATTTTAACCAAACTTGATACAAAGTACCCTTTGGTGAAGGGGAGTTTAAATTGTTAAAATAAAGGGCCGAGTCCCCTTACAAGGGGAGATAATCAAGAAAAGACAAAAATAGGGTGGGGTCATTAAAAAATCTTCTTCTCAAGAACCACTGGGCCAGAAAAGCTGAAACTTATGTGGAAGCATCCTGGGATAGTGTTGATTCTAAACTGTTCAAATCATGACCCCCGGGGGTAGGGCGGGGCCACAATAGGGAATCCAAGTTTTACATTGAAATATATAGGAAAAATCTTTAAAAATCTTCTCCTCAAGAACCACTGTGCCAGAAAAGCCGAAACTTATGTGGAAGCATCCTGGGGTAGTGTAGATTTAAATTGTTCAAATCATGACCCCCGGGGGTAGGGCAGGGCCACAAAAGGAATACAAGTTTTACATTGAAATATATAGGAAGAATCTTTAAAAATCTTCTCAACAACCACAGAGCCAGAGAAGCTGAAACTTATGTGGAAGCATCCTGGGGTAGTGTAGATTCTAAATTGTTCAAATCATGACCCCGGGGGTAGGGCGGGGCCACAATAGGGAAACATTGAAATATATAGGAAAAATCTTTAAAAATCTTCTCAAGAACCACTGGACCAGAAAAACTGAAACTTATGTGGAAGCATCCTGGGGTAGTGTAGATTCTAAATTGTTCAAATCATGGCCCCCGGGGGTAGGGCGGGGCCACAATAGGTATTACAAGGGGGGAAGTCTGGTAATGAAGAGCATGGCCAAAGTTAGTCAGGTGAGCGATGTGGCCCATGGGCCTCTTGTTGTACTAATCCGATGTTAACTTCCTGTTTATTCGTGTGTCTGTCCGTATCATACATAACAAATTTTGGTCGTAGTTTTCTAAGCAACTACTCATCCCAGGTGCTTGAAATTTTAGCACACTCTTTGTTTAGGCATGCCATATGTTGGGATTCATCATTTTTGTACAAATCCGATGTTGACTTCCTGTTTATTCGTGTGTCTGTCCGTATCATACATAACAAATTTTGGTCGCAGTTTTCTCAGCAACTACTCATCGCAGATGCTTGAAATTTTAGCACAATCTTTGTTTAGGCATGCCATATGTTGGGATTCATTTTTTACTAATCCAATGTCATTTTCCTGATTATCACTGTGTTTGTCCATAACTGAACTTGTGTATTCACATCAGAGCGGGGGTATTATTAGTGAGCATTGGCTCACAGACTTCTTGTTAATGCCTGCTGTTAGCTATGCATATGGTCACAGTCTACAATACATGTATTTATAGTTCAACTTTGATAAATTATTGCTAAATATATGATATTTTCCAACTACCTTTTAATTTTTTGTCTGATGTCATTAAGCTCTGTTAATTTTGATGAATTTTTACTTTGTTTTTGAGTTAATTGTTGTGTACCTTCAGGCTAAACTTCATGAAGCACTCTGTAGAAATGCTCTGTGGAGGAGAAACCCTCAGCTGACCGTTCAGGAGGGAATGGACCTCGGACATCAGAGTACGGTGTGTCTGTTGAACCACTTTTTTATCACATTGTTACAGATTCCTGAGGAGAGTACACTCATAGAACCCCTCAACAAACTGGTTCAACAACCACAGGACATGCAGGTGGGTAGTGTCAGCTAGGGCAGGGTGTTTTGCAAAAAAAGATTTTTCCATATGAAAAGATGATAATATTATACAATTGAACATAGAGTTTTAGATCTGTATATTTATATTTTTGTGTGTATTTCAAACAAATCTTTACAGCCAAACACGCAGTATGTTTCAGATGATAGAGTTTAATTTTAATGTACAGTCGTGCCTCATTTATCTGGATCCTTGTGTTCCCAAGCAAATTGTCCAGACTAAGGAATCATCTGGATAAATGAAACATACTTAGTTTATATAAATATAAATTATTTCCCATAAATGTTGTCTGGAAGGTCAAGCATCCAGATAATTGGGGTCCGGATTATTGGGGTCTGGATTAATGAGGCTCCACTGTAACTTAGCATTTTGAAAATATTTGAGGTTTGATAGCAATGTAAAATCATCTCAGTTTGTTGGTGATTTTTTGTTAGGGTGCTTTCCTGCCCACAATGCCACAAGATAATGTTGCAGAGATGAGGGAGGCTCTATTGGCTGCCAGAGGAGTGAACGATGCAAATCCAGTATTCTACCGTAAGATGCTAAAAACAATATAAGACATATGCTGAATTTAAAGTATTGTGGTAATAGCAGAAATTTTAGTGAGATGCAAGTTTAGCGATTTGTCCTTGAAAATTGGTATTTAATTTTAGCAAGAAGTATTTTTAGCAATTGTATTATGCCTAGAAAGATTATGATAACCTCCAATGTGCAATGCTTGAAATGCCAAAAATTGAATCTTCACTTAAATTTTTGCTTATACAGTGACTAATTTTCAGAGAATATTTGATTTATGTTGAACCAATGTTCAATTTTATCAAATTATGAGAGAAAAAAAAATAAATGAAAATTTTGATGCATATTCTTGATAAAGCTGTTCATTTATTGACAATAAAATATATGTTTTAGGCTGCCCAAATGGTCATCCGTATGTGATTGGTAATGTAAGTATTTCATTTTCTTGGTGTTGTGGATTGAACCTCACTTGAAATTTGAATTTTGGAAGTTTTTACATTTAATATTTAACATGTAACTTGATGTGAACAGTGTTTAAGAGAAGTGGCTCTTTATGGAGAGGAGATAACTCTGAAATTTAAAAAAAAAAAAAAAATTCCTTTGTTTAAGAAAACTGGGGGAGGGGATTATATTGATATGAAGTGACGGTCAAACTTTCCCTCACTAATCAGTTGCATGATGGGTAAAAAATTTACTTTCTGTATTACAGTGTGGCAGACCAGCCATTGTTGGTAGGTGTAAAGACTGTGGTCAAGAAATTGGAGGTCAAGGTCACCAATTAATAGCTGGCAACATACTTGACCAAGGGTATGTTGGAAAACACTATTATTTCCTTCCTTCAAGCAGATTTCTGCAATTCATGAAGAGAAAAATGTGAAAAAAAATTTTTACTTAGAAAGGCTTTTCAGAACCTTAACTTTCCGTATTACACAGCTTATTTATCATATTTTGATGTTGACAGGTTAGATCAGACTGCTACCGGTCACATTTTGGGTCGGGCAGAAGGGAGACAACCCGTGGCCAGTCCTGAGAGAAGTCTGTCCCCCATTGAGTGTGCCATAGTCAGACTCTTCACTCACATGGCCATGTACCTAGGAGCCAGCATCAATCTTGAGGTCAGATTTAGTGCTTTATTCAACAGTGAGGTAAAAAAAAAAGAACAGCTTTGTTTTAGTATAATGATGACAGGAGCTTAATATGTTTATGGCATTATTGCTTGGGAGGTGTTCCTTTTACACATAATGATCCCCCCAAAAATTGAACTTGATGAAATGCAAAATAATTAGTACTGTATTACATGTACATTTATACCGTAGTACTGTGCAACATAGCTGGTCAACCAAAGTGTCGTTTTAATATGTCTCCATTTTTATCTAGGCTATTGAAAGCATGATCAAACCAGACCTAGATCAAGACATAGTCCTGCCATTCTTGTGGGCACACATAGAGAAAGATCTTGTCACTATCCAGAGAGCCATAGGAAAAAGTGTGGATGATGTCTATATCCTGATACATAGAATTTGTAATGACATCATGGAGAAACACAGAGGTAGGTCTTTATAAACAATTTTAAAAATCAAAGATGGTAGACTTTTTAGTTCATTATTCATTATATTCACTGACAGTTAATATTTCATAATTTTCTAGTACTATTTGATAAAAGTTAGTTCATTATCAGCATAAATTCACAATGTCTGTGTTCAATACGAAATTCTAAAAGTCTTAGAGTATTTTATATTTCATTCACTTCCTATGCCTTTGAAAATGTCTCTCCCTTTCTTCTCTCTCAGCAGTTTTTTTTTATTGTACTGTAAAAGGAAGAGATTTATTCTTGTCTGCCATATTTCTCTTCATTTGACTGTATTTCTTGAGCCCTTAAAATAAGCCTCTGACTTCTTCAAGATTCAAACTATTTCACTGTACATAATGTACACCTTGCATCACCATTGTTATTTTGACACGATAAAAGTAAAATTATGCATAAATTGTACATTTTACATGTTCGTGGCCATTGTTACTCTGTGGCTATAAAAATCAACTGCACGATGAAGAAACGGGGGGGGGGGGGGGGGGGGGGGGGGATGTAGAAGGGAGTAACATCAAAACATCAATCACACAGGTCAGTGCACTACAAACAAACACAAATGCATGCAAAATGATGGGATAAAATGTAAACCCTAAGACAATGTAAAAATGCTACCCATCCACCATGAGATCCACATGCAATCAGGTGTAGCAAATGCAAAGGATATATGTATCGTAGTGCTAATGCATAGGCGTCGGAACCGGGGGGGGGGGGGCTTAGCCCCCCCCACTTTTTTTTCAAAGATAGACATAATATAGGCATTGAAAATTGGGGCTTACCTTTTTTTGTTGGTTTAGATTAGCCACCCCACTTTCAATTTGCTTCCGACGCATATTTAATGTCAGAGATAGGAAAACTAATATGGGGTGTGGCTATTTTTATCGGGCTCAGCTTTAACCAAAGAGTTTGAGAGGAGCTTTATGTTTAGTTCAATGATTTACTTACATGTATCTTTTTTTGTATTATTTGTTAGGTACTCAGATGAATCAGGAAATATGCTTCTTAGCCAATAAAAATAGCAGAATGAAATGGGAAGAGGATTTTACTCAAACTTATTTGTCACCAGTTCTTAAGGTAAGTACATAAAGTTGAAAGACACTTTTCTAACTTGTAAAGTGTTCAACTGGGTTCCAAACTTTTCAGTGCTATTGGATCAATATATTGTGAGATTATTAGTAGTCCAGCATATTTGTAGTACTAGTATTTTCTCTGTTTTTCAGGATATGGACAGCTTTCTGAAATCTTTAAATAAGCAACTTGCTAATGATCAGAGACTTGGTAAGTCACATATAAGAGTCTGCACTTCTTTTTTTGACTTGAATATATACTGCGGACTTAATTATTTTTTGTTTACAGTAACAAAAAAAATGACTTTATTTCAGTGCATTGTATCATAAATTAAGGAGATCTTTCTTTTCTGCAGGTTCAGACCCTTTGCTGTGTTTGTTATTTGAGATGGACATTCCCTCTGAACATTCCTCACCGAGCACTCTTCACAATGTTCAAGCTGTGTGGCGCTACCGATCACAGATAACCATGGACCACCTACTACACACCTTACAAGTACAGAGCAGGGCTCATCAAGTACTCATCATGTTCTTACAAGAGGTAAACACTTGCAATACAGAGCAGAGGTCATCAAGTACTCATCATGTTCTTACAAGAGGTAAACACTTACAAGTACAGAGCAGGGCTCATCAAGTACTCATCATGTTCTTACAAGAGGTAAACACTTACAAATACAGAGCAAAGGTCATCAAGTACTTCACATGTTCTTACAAGAGGTAAACACTTACAAGTACAGAGCAGGGCTCATCAAGTACTCATTATGTTCTTACAAGAGGTAAACACTTACAAGTACAGAGCAGGGCTCATCAAGTACTCACCATGTTCTTACAAGAGGTAAACACTTACAAGTACAGAGCAGGGCTCATCAAGTACTCACCATGTTCTTACAAGAGGTAAACACTTACAAGTACAGAGCAGGGGTCATCAAGTACTCATTATGTTCTTACAAGAGGTAAACACTTACAAGTACAGAGCAGGGCTCATCAAGTACTCATCATGTTCTTACAAGAGGTAAACACTTACAAGTACAGAGCAGGGGTCATCAAGTACTCATCATGTTCTTACAAGAGGTAAACAGTAGTGAGAGTTAGTCTCTCCAAAAAAAAAATACCTTTTTGCCTTAAATTTATTTGCCATGGAGGAGTCACATGAAATAATAAATGAATTCTTTAAAGTGTATTAATTTTGATTTCCTGTCACGACACACTGTGTCCCATTAATACATGTATGTCTTAATTGTGTCACCTGTTTATTTGTTTTAGGAGCACCATCTGAGAGCTATCCGCCTGGTACCAAACATTCTAAAACTTCAGAGGGTGCTGATACAGCGATACCAGAGAAAGCTGGACAGAGTTGAGGCTACTAGAATGTCAATTGAAGATATGATAGAGTCATATGAAAATGGTAATCCATCTGTTTTATTATAGTGTACTCTGGCAAAAAACAAAGCCCCCAAAAAGTATTGAAAAGAAATACATGGAGTCCGACATGTTCAAGAACAAAGCTAGTACTTGTCAAAAAGTCTGAGTGTACAAAGATCATAGTAATAATTCTTGATGTTTGAGAAGTGATGACCCTAATTTGGTATGAGCTAGGTTAGAAAAAGTGTGTCGTAAGTGTTAAATAGCAATGTGGCTCAGGTGAGCATGTGCTTTTTTATACTTTTTTTCCAGTCATATATGAAAGTCTCAAAGTTAACCTATTTATAATTTTGACTGTATTCCAAAATTGTTTACAAATGGGTGATAAATGTAAAATGAAAATAATGGAAACAATTTGAAACAAATTTTTATTTAAAAAAAAACTTAATTATCTTAGCTTAAAATCACTGAACCATTAACTGTTTTAGAGGGAAGAGCAGAAGAGATAAAGAATTTGGTAAGGGACTTCATTGAGGCCTGGCAGTGTGTACGTGAACAACTTTTAACATTCAGTAAGTAACCAGTTAGAAGTTTTAGTAAGTAACCAATCAGAAGTCTCCACTGTAAAGGCCAGGTCACGATGCCATTTGTTTTTAAAATGGTTGTTGCAAAACGATGTCTTCAATAGATAACAATATGTATGGGTGATATTCAAGGATTTTTAGGGATTCCTTGCAAAGAAATTGCAAAAATTGAAATTTTACACTTCTGACATATTTTTAAAAAAGCCAATTATCTTGCTCAACAATTAAGGCTTTGATTTATTTATTAGGATGTTACTGACCATGCCTGATACATCTGTTATAATCTCCTTAGAGGTCAAAATATAACTGTATGATTATAGGTGCTGCAAATCTAGGTAAAAGTCAGCACTTCTGAATCGGAACCGTTTTGAAATAAACATACAACCACAGTTCCCTGGGTGATGACCATGTAATTTTAATTCAATCTGTATTTTTAAAATGTTACTACCATAGGAGGGATAAATTAATCGATGTACAAATCTTTACAGGTTTTCCCACGCTGGAAGGATTAGCAAGGGTTCCTAAGGAGTACTGTCATAAATCAATTACTGAGACAAACCCAGTGTCAGTTCTATTACCAACTTTCAGGGATGCCGGACTCTGCTCCTATGGCCTCCTGTACTTCTTACTGAAGAAACAAAATAACTTCCTGCAGGAGTACTGCAAGAAGAAAAAAACAGTGCAGTAAGTCTGTTGTTGTTTTATATTTAACTTTTCTCCAATTATGCCCAATTGGCAAGAAAAGTTATTATAATTCTTTTGCAGTGTACAGTGAAACTTGTCTAATACGGATGTTGTATATTCCAAAATTTTATCTAATATGATGTAAACTTACAGTCCCTTTCAATATAAATTCAATTGTTTAAAATGTTATCTTATCTGGAATGTTATCTAATCCTGCCAATTTCTTTGAAACCACATGCAGTGGTGTCCGTATTGGACAAAATTTACTGTATATTACAGTTAAAAACGCTTATAGCGAACATGCTTATAATGAATTGATGCTTACCGTGAAGTGATTTTCATTCCTCTTGGGCTTAATATATAAATTTAAATATATTGTGAACTTAATGGCTATATGAATTACGCCCATCCTTGGCACTTCGTTATAAGCATGTTTTACTGTATTTCATTGATTCATCTTGCACTGTATTTTGACTTCAATATTTGTGTTAGGTTTGTAGTTAGTGGTTTGGATTGTACATGTATTATTATTGCAAGGATTATAAATTCATTCAATACAAATTGAAAGGACCACTTTTTTAGAACAAAGTAAAGGTCCCTTAGTAAAAATGATTCTCTGAAAACAAAACATGAAAAAGATTCTAAATATTAAACAAAAATTTGAAAGCCTATTAAGTGACAGTTTGTCAGTTTTGTACCCTAATTCAGAGATACTCTTGCGATTTTTGGGACAGCGCTTCTCAAAGAAAAATTAGTATTTGTAAGGGTTTTACATATTAAAGACTTTTTTGGAAGCTTGAATTTCAATTTATAACAGACTTGCAGTTCATTGTAACAAAAATAAACCAGTGATATCAACTTGAGGGGTAGTACCTCTACATATTTGACAAATGAACGTTTTCTTTTACTCAATGACTTGAACTCTTGGCCTTCTTGGATCCTTGAGATTTGTGGAAGCCAGTGTTGAAATACATATACATTATAGAATTTATCAAAACAGATACACTCAACTGCCCAAGGTTCAGGTGAATGATGTGACCTCTGCCCACCTCATCAGCTTCCACCCTGACAGAGACATCCTCCCCATGGTCATGGCCAACTGTCACTACACGTTTGAGGTCGGCAAAGGAACCAAGATAGATTACAACTTTGGTGACTTGGAGCGCCAGCTCATGGACCGATTCCTGTTCTCCAAGTCTGTCATTGACATGCCTGTTTATGAGGTACATATTGGAAATGTTGTTAAGTTAAGAAACAGTTTAAAATGTTGCAAATATATCATGTGTGTTTTTAAGAAAGGTTGAATTGATGTACCATGAATTTTTCTAAGAAAAAAAAATAATTAGATGAAATAAGAGTTTTGAATTACCTGGTTTAACTCATCAAAGTGATAATTGATAAGGAAAACGTTGTATTTGTGGGGATTTTTATGCCTATCCATTGCAGATTGATCCATTGGGAAGTGTATGTTGATCTTGGTTCATCCTCTATCTGCCTTTGTATATAACTTTTAATTAGATGAAACTTGAAATATATGAGAAACATCCTTTTTAATTGGCTAAGGTCTGATCTTCATGCGAAGTCAAGATCATACATGAAAATTGAGAAAAGATAGCACTTTGCTTTGGGAATTATGTCCCACAAACACATCTGACGATGATTTACTTCTAGTTAAAGATTAGTTTTGGTGCAAAAATATTCAAATGATGTATTTTTGTAGCTCAGAAATTTTAATGTGCAACATTTTTGACCCACATTAAATTGTCTTGCAGTATGAGATGATGACATACAGATCAGAAACAACTAATGCAGTGGTGTTTAGACATCTCAGGCAGAAAATAAAACAGGTTTACAAAATACTCTCCTCAAATTTAAGAAATAATTTTCTTTTAAAATACTTGTAGCCTAATTTTCTCATATGTGAGAATTGTTACTTATTTGCTACATCTGTATATAGATAACAAAGATGACATTTTATTGTAGATTAAATAATTTAAATTCATGTGGGGTTTTTTTCCTTACTATTTTGGATTCTTACTTTTGGTTTTTTTCACAGGAACCTTTGACCCCAGCAGTAGCCAATCAAATCAGTGAAGAGATCAGAGCTTACCCTGACCTCTGTCAAACTCTTGACAAGCTAGACATTACCATCAGTTTCCTGAAATCTGTAGGGGGTGATGCTAACATGTCCTTGGAAAAGTTTATGACCCAGACTCTTAAAATGGAAAATCCATTCCCCAGTCAAAAGGTTGGTCACATATATATACATATTAAGATGTATGTTATGTTTATGATTTTTGACATATATTTGTGTCACCTTAATAGGATGTGTGTCATGATTTCTTGTATATGACCTTGACATGTGAAGTAATTAGAGGGGCAGGTGTATGTTTTAGTTTACTATAACATAATGTATAGTTTGATTATGTTTGTTTTCTAGGCAAGATCTTCCTGTATGTGTAAGCATGCTCAGTCACTCTGGATTACATTAGCAATGGAGAAAACCAAAAGACAAGCATCACACAAGGAGGTAATTTAAATAAGAACAGTTCTGAATACCGTATATCCATTTTTTTTTCAAGGTGATCTATTTTTCGCATTTTTTTGCGATCATTTTTAATTCACAAAAAATAAAACACGCAGAAATAATGTCGGTTATTGTGTGCCATAAGAAAACAACCTTTTAGTTTACTGTGAGTGGAAGCTCACACTGTCACTCGCAAAAAATAACTTGCGCAAAAATAAAAACCGTACAAATCTATCCTTTTTTTATTTTGCAAAATTTGCACCACACTTAAAAAAAAAACATATACAGTACTCAGTTAATTAATGGCCAGTCATACAGGATACATTGGAAATTAATATTATGTAAAGAAAAATCAGCCACTCCTGTTGCCCATATGGGTTAAAATACGAATTGCTTTTCCTCTTCTCAGGATGCCTTTGAGGGTGTGGCCAGTGAGTTGAGGGTGGACCTCCAACCTGACCAGCGTGACATCATCAAGTCGTTCTGTGAGGAACTCTCCATAGAGAGACTAGAACTCCTGCTGGAGACTCTGTTTGAGTGTATCATGTTGACCATCACAGTTCCCAAAGGAACAGATGATGATGATTTAGACATGTCCAAACTGAGGTCGGTTCATGGTTATTCAATTATTAAAAGTTGGAGGATCAAGAGTTTAATTGAAATCTCAATGCATGGCAATTAAAAACTAAATTTTCAGGCCTATTAAATTACAGTAATATTAGTTCACTCAGTAAATGATAGAATGATTAAAGAAAGAGAATATTTCATAGCACTTTGTGCAGAAGGAGGTGAAAAAGTCATTTTATGATAGTTTTATGCGTTTTATTTTCAGCCTGAGAGAAACTCTGATTGGCTACGTTTCAGCTCCTCAGTATGACCTTGACCCAAACAACCCAGGATGGATGATGAACTTTGTGGAACAAATTCCAAATGAAGGAGAAAACTTTACCAAAATTATGAACAACCAAGCTGTTGATGTGTGGTTGTTTTTATATGCTATCTACACTCAAAAACAAAGTGAAAGGAGATAATAGTGTTGTAAAATAAAGTAGATGAAGCTACTCTAAAAAACATAGTGAAAGGAGATACATATAATGTGGTTTTTGGACAGGTATAATACATATAGTAAAAATGTTTCAATTTTTTGGACTTCAATTTTATAGATACTTAAATCATATTCATAGACTAAGCACATCGAAACCTTGATTTAATATAATACTTTTTATAAACAATGGATTGTTTTAGACATAATAAATTACCTGAATATTAGTTCACACTATGAACACCTGTAGAACTGTATGTTGGGACCAAGCTTTAATGTGATAAAATACACAATTGTGCCAATATTAGTAGTAGAATTAAAAGTTTGTTTTTGTGTGTGTTGCAATTAATATTTAAAGTAAAATTATTACCGTATTTTTGTACTTTTATGAGGATTTTGAGTTTGCAGATTTTCATAATTTTTTTTTAATATTTCAAGTCATTTTAGGCAATATCAATCCTATTTTGTTTGTTGGAAGTTGTGTTCTTATCTATATGTGACTAGAGTGCAATCAGTGTTACAATGATGTTACGCAGTTTTATTGCACAGAAAGTGCATGCCTTGTAAACTTGCATGTAGTTTATAATGGAAGATTATATTTCCAGAGAACTTTTTAATTTACATTTATTTTTATTTGCTTTTGTAATGGTTTTGACCAAATAAAATGTTTCTTTATGTTCACATATAAATTTGTTTGAAGTTTATGAATTATAACATCAGCAAAGACTAGTTCCAACCAAACAAACCTCTAAGGGTCTTACATATCTGATTATGTCCCAAGATCATAAATTGTAAACTGGGAGCAGACGAATTTTGTCTTATTTCCATAATTAATTTAAATTTGTACCAACTTGAAATTTTGACTTAAGGTATAATAAATCTATCATGAAAAATGAAGAATAGGTAGCAAAGATAGAGGACAAGTTCCTTGTTCAAAAATCAATTATTATATGTACTTCGATTGGTTTTCATGGAAACAACCTATGAACATGCCTTTGCTTAAAAAGATTAAAGCTATTAAAAAAATTTTAATTAAAGAATATAACAAAAATCCAAAAACTATAATTAGAATTCATATTTTGCAGTTATAGGAAAGGTTGGTGCATCAGCTTAATTTTATTCAAACAGCACACACAGATTGAAGTTTTTCTCTCCCCTTAAAAATTTCAAATTTTTTTTGTAAATTCACAGAGTGTATCAACCAAAAGGAAGGTCACCATGACTTACTTTTGCAATTTCATGGCTAAATTTAAATACTTCAGATACTAACTGGCTTAGAATTATCAAACTTTGTCAGTTCATGCATCTTGGGTCCTCAGAATGTGTCAACTAAAATGTAGGTCACTGTGACCTACTTTTGGAATGATGAGGCAGTACCTGTTTTTGGAATTGAATGTTATTTCAGATACTGATTGCATGGCTTAGAATCGTCAAACTTTGTCAGTTGATGCATCTTGAGCACTTGGAGTGTATCAATCACAAAGAAAGTTGCTATGACATACTTTTTGAATTTCATGGCTTTATTGTAATGTTTCAGATACTAATTGGCTTAGAACCATTTTGTCCATTGTCTCAATTAATGGAATTGAGCTGATATCTAAATTATGCAAATAATAAGAAGCATAAAGTCATCAAGCTTTGTCAGTTGATACATCTTGGGGTCTCGGGGTATATTAACCAGTAAGTAGGTTACTGTGACCTTCCTTTAACATGTTATGGCTATATCTGAATATTTAAGAAAATAAGGGGCTTAGAATTATCAAACTTTGTCAGTTGATGCATCTTGGGTTTTCAGAGTGTGTTAACCAAAATGTAGGTCATGCTGACCTACTTTTGGAATTTCAAGGCTTTATCCTTGTATATAGGTTACCAAGATCGAGGCTTAAAATAGAAGAGATAGTTTGTACAATTTCTCAGAAGAGCGATTCTAGGCCCTTGGGCCTCTTGTTTATATAGCAATATCCCATTATGACATGCCTAAGGAGTTTATACTTCCATGTTAATTCGACATGCAAGAGTATGTTGTACGTCCGATAAATTCTGAACTGAGGCAGTCCTCTGACTGTTAATGTTACCAGGGCATCAACAATCTCGTTTAAAGACGTTTGCAAGCCATGGTCTTGTTGGCAAAGACAACCTGCCGCAAGGCCGATGTATTGTTGAGTGACTTTTTTTTAATACGAACTGTTACATAATACAAAGCCAACTTAATTTGAAATGTTGGAGTGGACGTTTATGGTGATTACTGTTTGTTATCTAACACTTCAACAACACATGGCAAAGCTCTCAAAAGGCTAGAAGACCTGGGGGTCTTTAAATTACTTAGCTAAAGTACTTGAAATTGGATAGCAGTTAAATTTAAATAAAAGATCACTGTGGGCTAATTTTTTATTTATACACCAGAAGCCCCGGAATGCATCGACTGAAAATTTTTAAATGATTTTAGGCTTTACAGTTTTCAAGATGTGAATATAAAACAAATTGAAAATTGATTAGCTGTAAAATTCAAAAACTAGGTCACTATGACCTATTTTGGCCTGTCTTGCCCTGGAACCCAAAGATGCATTAAAGGAGAGGAGTTTGTGATTCTATAGTAATCCTAGTGGGCAAACTATTATGAAAATATCATTTTATGTATTGAAGTGACCTTAGACCACCCCGTATGGTGATTCTTTGAACAAATTATCGATCAGCAATATGTTATAAAATTCTGATCTACCTGGGGACTCTTAATAAAAATATTTTATGTCAGCCACTACTTTTAAGCTTATTTGAGCAAAATGCACAAGAAAGCTTTCCAAAATTAGTCGTTGTCGTTAACATCGCAGATTTTTCACATTTTCGACTTTCTCAGAACTACTGAGCCAATTTCAATTAAAATTGCCACAAAACATTTTTTAAAGAGGATTTAAGTGTTTACAAATGAAGGACCACATCCTCTTTCAAGGGGAGATAATTAACAATTCGTGTGAGGCAAAAACCTATTGCTCTACCCTAATAAAAAAAGTACTATAATTTTCTATAGGTAACTATTGCTCCTATGAAGCAGAATTTATCCAAAAATAATGACTATCCCTCCAAACAGCTGGGCCATGATGAATGATATTTTTTGATAGTGCAGATTGAATTTTGTTCAAAGCATGGCTAACTAAGATAGAGTGGGTCTCCAAATAGGGATAAAAATTTTTACCTAGGAAAGTATAGGAGAAAAATCTTGTCTGAAAGAGCAGAGTCATAATGAATGAAAGTTATATGTAAACATCCTCGGGCAGGGCAAGTCGAAACAAATCAGTGATGTAGTAATTTTCCGCTTCCACCGGCATATGGTGTTTACTTATTCGATACTCAAGAGCATGCTCTGACTACGATCAATTTCTAAACCGAGGCAGGTTACTCACACTTAAGTTGATGTTACAGGGATTTCAAAAACAGATTTGTTTAGATCAGGTCAGGGTGCTTAAAATTTTACATGGGAATATATATAAAACGTATTTCAAAATATTTCCTCAAGAACAGCAGGGTTTTTATTGGTCATATTAATAGATTTCAATCAGGCGATTCAAGGGGGTTTATAAAAACTTTGCTTTGGATATGTAAGGAAAAAATGTTTGTAGATTTTTTTCTCTTAAGAACTTTATGCAATGCTTCTTAGCTAATATAGATTTAAGTTCGTTGAAGTCATAGCCCAAATGGATAGGGAGGGGCGACACTGTTCGTACATGTATGTGGAGCATGCTCTTGCGTATCGAATCAACTGAACTCGGGGACATAAACTCCAAATGCAGATGCTAATGGTATATATTGTTTCATAAATAAGGGAAGCTGATAATAGAAAAAAATGAAGTTATCACGTTTGTCATAAAGTTTTGTTGTAAGGTTACCGTGACCTACTTTTGAGTCAACATGACATGAGGTTCTAATTAAGATGCATCAACTGACTAGATTTCATGATCCTAGTACTTATAGTGGGCAAAATATCAAAGTATAAACTAAACATATTAATTTTAGTGAACTTTGGATTGACCTTGAGACCACGTACGCCCTTTATCCCAGGATGATGGCCATGATTTTTTTTTCAAATCTACAACAAATCCTCATCCCTATGCATAAAGGTGATAATCTGTCCCATGGTTCACGAGAAGATTTTTTAGCAATCCCTATTTTTGGTTTTGTTTCCCTGATTATCTCCCCCTGTTAAAGGGTCACATCCCTAATCTTAGCATGAATAAATGAAACCCTTGGGCCAAGGATACAATGTGCCAAATTTGACAAAAGACCAAGGGGTTCTTGTGATATGTCTCATATTCCACAATGTTTTCGCACACTGCACATTCAAGTGGCCACAGTATTACATGTATAGCTCTCTGAGCCTTTGGCTCAGAAGAGCTAAATATCTTACAAAGTGTAATGAATGTACATGAATGAAGAATGATGAATGTACATGAATGAAGAATGATGAATGAAGACAACGAGCCCAAACGGGCGGAAATGCATTAACTTCAGTAATGTTTGATGAAAATCTTTCCTATAAATAATAACATTCTGCATAACATTGTAAGGGAATTACTATGATTGAATGTACAGTAAAATATTGGTTAATGTTGCTCCGGATTTTTTTCCAAATAGGAATATATGTCAAGTCATGGATTTTACAATTTCTCATGCTGTTTTTATCCGCCCAGTAGTATAGCCGACATAGGCCCATTAGTTACCCCCCCCCCCCCATATGTCGGCTATACTACTCCGCCCCCCCCCCTCCCCTAAAAAAGATAAATCCCCGAAGATTTGTTACTAACGATTATTTTTTTAATCAATTTAAAGCTTCACTTTGAGTTACAGAAATAAATGATATTTTCAAGCTTTATTGTTCCTGAGTGCTGGACCCCCCCCCCCCCCCCCGTTTAAATGTAGTCCGTATACACATACCATTTCACGGATTACCATCTCAGATATTTCAGATCGTCAGAGAAATAATTTAATGTAAAATGTTACGATAAAATTCAAGTCTTATAAAAGAAATTTAGGATCATAAGTAAGAATTGATAATATTTCGATATATAGTTTCAATTAAGTGTATATATGGGGCATTTTACTTATAGACTGATCTGATTTACCTAGAGAAATAATCCAATATTATAGATCCCCCCTCCCCCTTTCATTTTTATTTTAAACTGAAAATTGTTTAATCGACGTCAGAAAGAATAAAAAATTCAATATTACATGTTATATCAATTCAGACACTGGCTTTTTTTCTATCATAAAATTTTGCTTGGGTCGAGGAGTTTTTTACGGTGGCTGGTATAGGACATGGTATGAGAATTTTTTTTATTAATTCGTGGCCACGAAATAAAAATTCGTGGGAACGAAATAAAATTCGTGGGAACGAAATAAAAATTCGTGGGAACGAAATAAAATTCGTGGCCACGAAATAAAAATTCGTGGCCACGAAATAAATTTCGTGGCCACGAAATAAATTTGTGCTACATAATGCCATTTTTAGCTTCTTCTGTTTTATGTCATTCAAGATGAACGAACTTATATATAATTATCATTTAATTGGAATGAGCCAACGGGATATATGTGTAATGAGCAATGAGATTCGATGCTGTTACGTAGAACATG